TGCCTCCAAGCGCTTCGGCATGATAGGCTAAGGCGACAAATCCCGGCGAGCAGGACGACAGGCCAAGGTAGGACGACTGCTCCGACCTTCTCCGCGACAAGATTTTTCTGAGGAACTCGGAAGCAGTTGCTGCCCGTGCAATTCCTCGAGAACCTCCAGCAGCCCAAGACGAATCCATCAGAGCGAGGGCGTCCATGCTGCGGCAGCTGACTACACCAAAGCCACCGTTGAGGAACATGACTCCTGCCTTAGTTGCACTTCCTGGAGGACAAGCCCCACTGCCGTGCACAACGTGAACTTCCAGACAACCTCGTCCCCAAACACACCATTGTCGAGCGCGACCTGATCCATGAAAACACCGGGGACGCGCTCAACGCCTCGAACATCGTCGATGAGCAGAGCCCTGACGGGCACGACCCGACCCGGACCATGGAAAGGACGGGCCATCGTTGTCCGTGACTCGCGGGCTGCACCCAACCTTTGACATCTTTGACGACGTCGACTTCGGCGACGATGAGCATGAATCCCAAGTCGAGATCCCCGTTGCAGTTGAGGAAGCTGCTGACAACGAGGAGCTTTACCACTCTGCCGACCACAGCATTGTCCCACCCGAACCAGCTGGGGGACCACCCAGACTTTCACAGCACAAAGGCAGCGCCTCATTCAGCTTTACCAGACACGACTCCAGAGAGGGAAGATCGCCAACAAGTCTGAGACCGACAATGATGAGAGTCTTTGGCGGCAGTGCCGAGCGCAGGGCAAGGCTGATTAGCGATTTCCGCGACGCGAAAAACGACGACAAAACGATTGGGAGCCAGATCATCTGCGTAAAGACCGCTCCGAGAAAGCGTGTGCTTCATCTACCTGTACTGAGCTACAATCCCGTGTGCAGAGTGCCGCGCGTTTTGTTTCTGATCTTTCCCGGGGCAACACCCCAGTTGGGACTCTTTCAACACTAGATTTCCCCAGCACTCGGCACCTCGTTGTCTGTAAAGCGTGATCTGTTGAGTGGTGCTTTCATAATTCACTGACGGGCCGCTGGAACCAACCCCATTCGATCCTGCCTAGCCCCTATTGGGCACCCGATTCCTTTCTTGCCTGAGGAGCTGCGCTTCCCAAATATTTTGCTAGTTACCACGAACTTCCAAGAAGAGGGGACGTAGTCCCTTAGACGCCTCAATTGCATGACCTTTGCGCGTGCTGTGACTTTGCATGCTGTTCATTCCGAATTTTCAGCACCACACGGATCGGAAAACATCCGGCGACCCATTAGCTTCACAATCTTTCAGATCTATCCGGGTTGTTGTGCATCCTTTTTGAGCGATCGGGATGCCTTCGAGTGTGAGCCTGCAACTTCTTGGCACCCGCAACAGTCGGGGGCGCACGAGCGCGCGGTGTAGCGGGGTTCCCCCTGCACCACTGCCTTGGCGAAAGAAAGAAGGAGAGAAAGAGAGAGACAGCGAGAGGGCGAGAGAGATCACTGATATGTTCAATCTGATTTCGGGAATCTTTCACAAACTCACTCGTTCTGAGCAAAAGAATTATATTCACAGACCACCCCAGCTGCCTGTACCCCAAAAAATTCCCTCCTGACACAATGCCCATCGCAACAAGCTCCTTTGAACGATCCCGATCTGAAGGAAAGAATATCTACACACATATCTATGTATCTATCTGTCGGTCTATCTATCTATCTGTCATCGACCTATATATATGTATCTATCTGTCTATTCTAACCATGCACACACATGCTCTTTCGATGGATAACTCGGCCACCAGACATTTTGATATCGTGGGGTACACCTAAGCTTCGGATGGGGGTCGCATAGGTATGCACGTATGCATGTATTGACGTATGCATGTATGGATGTATGCATGTATGGAATGTGTATGGATGCATGGATGTCTGTCTGTGTCTGTCTATGTCCGTTTGCGTCTGTCTGTGTCCCTCTGTCTGTCTCTCTGTCTGCCTCGCTCTGTCTGCCTCTGTTTGTCTGTCTGTCGATCTGTCTCTCTTTCTGGCGATCTGTCTCTCTTTCTGCCAGTCTCTGTCTGTCTCTCTGGGCCTGTTTGTATGTATGTATGTACGTGTGTATGTATGCATGTATGTGTCTTCTTAATCTACTTCTACTTAACACCGTATATACATATACACATAAATGTGTATATATATATATACATACATATGCACATATATATATGTATGTATATATCTATAATGTGCATGTACTGGAACCCGTCGGGAAGAACTGCGAGCTATTGAGCGCCGAAGCAAACGAGTCGTCGTGACGTTGTCGCACTGTCTCGGAGGCCACATGACTTTCCACCACAACCTGCTGCGGAAAGCTGGCCATGCGGCCTGGGAATCTTTGCTCTGATCGGAGTAGGGGATGGAGTTTGGAGATGTTTGGGCATTGTATACCGTAAGGCCAATTCGCGCATGCGTCCGGGGCTGGTCGGGCTTGCCTTTTTCATGCTAATGATATCTTGCCAGTGCTCGTCGGAACAAAGCCGGCCGTACCAAGAACTATGAGTGACTTCGTCTTGCAGCAATCACACACTTGGCCAACCGTTCTTGGTCCCAACCCTCAGAGCCGTGACAACTGCTTTCGCGGAGGTACCAGCATTGCCTTACTGTCGGAGCGAGTAGTGATTTGCTTCGAGAAAGCATGCAGCTCCATTGACAGGTGGTAGGGCGTCGGCTTACTCATGTTTGCAAACCGTGGTCCGTGAGGAAAAAGGTGACGACACGGTCATCGCCTCCAGTGTGGAACGCATGTGCGACATGTGGAAGGAGGCGGGCGTGCAGGCCGGTTGGGATCATCGACATGTCCCAACCTCCGTTCCCGAGTAAGGTTTCCATGTCCACAGGGAAAGAAGTCGACCCAGAGTTTAAGCAGTAGGGAGCAGAGCGTCTTGAAAGCGCTGGGGGCCTTTTTTGCCAGCTCTCTGTAAAGAACAGCACCGTATACCGTCTTGCCGGAGGTTCGCAAATGCCGCGCACAGAAGACGCATCACAAGGAGCTGATCTCCTGCAAGTTCATGATGCACGTCATTGACGAGCCTCGGTCGAAGCTTGGGGAAAGGCTTGGCAACACAGCGCAAAGGGTGGGTTGGAAGAACCGTGCATTTCCAGCTCGCATCAACTCGCACATGCAGTGCTGAGAAGGGCAACATGACGAGCCTGCATGGCTTCCTGATGAGGAAGTACTGGAGTTGGCGGAAGGCCACAGCAGCGAGTTGAGCGATCCTGGCATTATTCTTGGGATCGAAAAAGGGGCTGTTGTTTATGTGCTGGATGTTTGCATGCGTACATCGAGGCCAGGTGCAGTACTTGCCAGCTTCCGGGTGATTTTATGCCGGGCGGTGCATGGTGCTAATAGAAGTCGAGCTACACGTGGCAATGCTGAAGAAGTCTTTGCGGGGCGGATTTCGGACCTGCCACCTCAGGAACAAAGAAGCAACTTCACGCCCCAGACAACAAGAACCTGCGCTTTCAAAGAGTTCCCTCTCCGAGGGGTTCTGTTCAGTTCTTGGGGCGTCCAGGTGAGGACTCGGTCGACAGCGGCGAGGAGAGTGATCTCGGATGCTGTGCAGCGGCACATTGACACTGTCAGCCGGCTTTTAGGACAAACTCCTTGTCTGGCTGTGCGAGTCATTGGGACAACTGTATCACGGGCCGGCTGACAAGTGTCCAGCTTGGTTGTGTCAGCGATGCAGACCTTGCTTAGCATCTGCACGCCTGAGCTCCAGGCAAGGCCTGCATTTGGAGTGGATGTGGGGGGATGTTTCAAGGCTTTGCTCAAACTTGCAGATGCTTTAGGTGCACTCTGTCAACAAATCCCCACGTCAAGCTTTGTTTGAATACTTATACTCGTGCAGCAGCTGTAAGGCTCGCTGCATTTCAGCAGGGGCATGCCGCATTGAAATCTTCCCTTGGAGGCTGTTAGGCTGTGGGCCTCTGGCTCGTGACGAGCACTCGTAGCTCTTCCGGTAGGAGCCTCAATACAATCAGCTTCGGTTAGCTGCTTCCTCTGTAAATCCTGCGGTGCCTACAGGCTCATCCGAGTGGAGTCCTAATTGAGCCTGTGTTGTACGAGACGAGCGAAGTGGAACGTCTATATTCTGCCTTTTCTGGTTCTTGTGAGGCCAATGACAGGGCTGGAAGCCTTCAAGAAAGCTGCGCTTGCGCTAGTCCGTGATAGCATCAGACTGCGTCGTGGCTAGGAACCGCCCCAGGCTCTGTTCTAGTGGTTTCGGCTTTTGGCTCTTCTGCAATAGTGACCTGGAAAGAGCTGCTGGCAAAAGCCAGTCGGTTTGTGGCTGTAGCCATCTGTTTCGGCTTGTTTAGAAGTTCCATGTAGACACTAAATCCTCTTGTGGCTTTGTGTGTGTCGCATCTGTGTCTCATGGCTCTGTGCCGAGGGTTTAGATACATACTGTTGCACCGCTGGACTGTCTTATTGAAGCTGTCAGTTTCTTGCATTGCCTGTAGCAGTTGTGGAAGTAGTACACGCTTCAAGAGGCTGCAAAGCCGAGCTTTGATAGCTGATGTGTCCTGGCCAGTGCCGGCATTATACCGCCCCACAGAGGCCACGCAGCCCAAAGCGACTCTCCAAGCTTCTATGTATTTTAAACTGACGGCTCGGTGCTGGCAGCCTGTCTTTTCCCACTGCAGGTTGTCGTGGACGCACCTAGCTGTTCATGTCAAGTTGTTTGGGACACAGCCTGCCTTGATAGACAATGTTGATGCTGCGACGGGCCTCAGGCGGCTTGCAACAGCAGACGGTCGCTGTCCGCCACAAAAAACGTGGGTGCAGTCAGGGTACCCCTGAAATGAGCCATGCATATCATTGAGGATGACTTGCTGCCTGCTACATCGGATTGATGGTGAGTCATACTTCTGAAATCTTCCGAGTATAGTGCTGCCTCTGATTCTCAGTCGTCGTCGCAGATGATGATGAGCGGACATGAGACATAGATGCAACTCACGTCTCCAGGCCATGGTGCTGCAGCAGCTGAGCGAGATGCGCGAGGAACCCTAATCAAACTCCACAATAAGAGCTGTTCAGACGCTCCTTCCTCGTTTGGCATTCTCCGGGGAATTCGGCCCGAGGAGCCTTAAAAGGCATGTGTGTTGGGCTTTGCTGCCGTTGGGGGGTTCTGTATGCCCTGGCAGGGAAGCACCACGCTGGTTCTTACTGTTTCCATGAATCATTGAAGGTTACGATGGCAATGATCAAGATACTGGGCAGGAATGATGCGGATTACTGACTGACATGTACTGACTTACTGTTCCAACCTGATCAGGCTACGTATTGTTGCCTGTCGTCATTTTGCTATGACTGCGGTTGTCAGTATCTTATTGTTGTGACATACTTGGTCTCATTCTTCGTCTGACGCGCCTGCTTCTTCCCCCGGTGTCTATTGCATTCAGGAAGCCATCCGACTTCGAGTGTGTAGGTTGGAAGCTGGATGATTTGAAACTGGACGAGGCCTAAGGACTTCGACGAAAGAGTGGAGCCGGGTGGAGTAGACAACTAGCCAGGCACCCCAAGGTTTAGTGCAGTTTAGTGAATGCATGTACGGTGCAATCTGAGGGTGTTAGGTTGCTTCTGCTGGCCGCATACACCAAGATACCAGAGGCAGTTCGGGAATATGAATCCGCATGCTCAGAAGAGACATCGGGACACACAAGAAATAGTCCGGATCAAAACTGATCGGCTAGTGTTTTGACGGTGTTCGAGGAGTTGGAGCCACGCATTGCAGACATCGAGAAGCGGCTGCATGGTCTAGGTCGGCTGCCCGATTCAAGGCTTCAGCTTTCAGGGGCTTCGAAGATCAACACCCTTAAGGTGTTAAGGTGTCGGAAACGCTGTGGCTGGTTTAGGGAGCCTTTTTTTGATGGCTCGGCAGTTAGGCAGAAGCATGTCTAAGATGGCCCGAATCCCACACAGCTGGCGATATCACAGTCCCTTGATGATTGCATTCCTGAGCCCGCGTAAGCCTTTCAAGGCGCACGGTCCGTACAAAGCGACGGCAGCCCGCGCGAGCACCAAGAGGCGACGTTGGCCCGATTTCCTCTTGCTGAATGCTCGTCGTGGCACGTAAGGTGCGGACTTCTTGCAAAAAGCCAGGGCATGTAACCATCTGGGCTACCAACTTGGCAGCTGGCATCGACTCTAGGATTCTTATCGTGGCTGTGCCGCAAGCTTTCTGCACAGGATGCCAGGGAGCGGTCCGAAGGACCGGCCCGGGCCTCACTCTCCGAGGCCCGGACGCTTTTGCAGATGCGTTCTTCTGGGTTTCAATTTTGATCAATTTTGAATGGTTTCTCCTAGGCCCTAGGCTGAACTTGCGGATGCCTGAAGCAAATGCCCTGCACCCTAATCCCACTGCTCTCGAAGCGCTAACGGGATCTCTGTTGTGCCGGCCTGGCCCACAGCACCGCAATGCTTGTCCGCTTGTTGGCAAGCAAGCTTGAGCCGTCAACATCGGGATTCATAGCCTCTGCAGCCAACATCCCTCAGCTGTGCCCTGAGCCGAGAAAGACAAAATCAGAAAGCACGACCAGCTCCGCGAATTTTCCGTTTCCCTGTGCTCCCAAATAGGGGCCTCTGTTTCATATGACCCACCATGCCTTTGACGGCTCGCCGCGGAGCCGCCAGCGCCGTTGCGATGGCCCTCTGGATATCAGGCTCGTTTAGAAGCTAGGCCTAAAACCGTCTCGCTCTTGTTTTCTTTGCGAGGTCCTGGCCTCGCTGGGCCTGGGGCCCGGGGCCAAGGCCCAGAGGGCTGCACCTCCGAGTCCTGCATCGCCTGGCAGGCCCTTCCCTGCAAAAGTGAGGGTGTAGAGTCGTGTGGAGGGATAGTGGAGGGATGGTGATTCCACAGGTCGGCGCCTTCGGCGTGGATCCGAACGGTCGGGGTGCCAAGATGCCTTCTTGCCCGTACCCAGTAGCTGTCCAGCGGCGCCTCCGACCGAGGCACTGGCCCCCTGGACTGCCACGGGCATGGCTGCGCAGCTACAGGCACCGGCTGTCACAGCGAGCGCCCTGGCAAATTTATTGAACTTCCTCAAGTAATAAGCTCGCCGGCACAGACTAGCTAGGAACTGGCAGGGTCCATACAGGGACGGTTGCCCAGGTGGCTAAGAACCAAATCTTCAAGAAAGGCGAGCACTTGAACTACGTTCCGCAACGGCACATTAGTCGGTGAGTGCACAGAGGGCGCTTTCATCTTCCAGCCCAAGTGTTGGCGATCATGCAGCACAAATGGTGAACTCCCTGATCGGAGTCATCGTCGTGCTGTCGCGTGCACCGACACCGACATACCAAAGCAGAGGGGGTTTCATAAGTTATATCTGATTGACCAGCTTTGTTTGAGGAGAGTGTGAAGTGCTACGAGCCCGTGACTACCCGGCCGTGAGAAGGTGCGAATGCCGGCATCTGGACGCAATCGAGCGGCAACGCTGGGACGCAAACGTCGGCTTCCGCTACCCAAAAAGGCTGACCGAGTGTCCTTGTCAAGACTCGGGGTCATCGGGTTGCTGCAAACCTGGTGAGACTGTCGCACGGCATTCTGGGGTTTGCAGCAGTATGACCTGGCGTGCTCCCTTGAGCGGCATCACCTGCACCTGTGAGCAAGATAGGACAAGGAACTCCAGCCCCGCACTCGTGCAGGCCCAGTTTGGTCATAACCGCGAGCCGGGCAGCCCGGCTGCAACTTTGCGAAGAGAGGTGGTGACGGCGTACATCCCGCACTTTTCTGGCCTCATTTTCCGAATCTCTGCTTCTTCAAGCAAGGGTCGGGTGCGCTGTGTCGTGGTGCACGGCTGAGGACGGCCAACGCTGTGCCTCCACTTGGGCCTTCAATGCGGTTCGGCTTCTGCCGCTTCGGACTGATTCGTGATCTATGAGGTCGAGTCCATGACAAGACTGTCACTCAGGTTTCGACAGGCCAAGGAATCCTGCGACTCGTACTGGATGCGGCACGTCACGAGAGAAAAACTCCAGCGCCGGTTGGTGCCATGGCAAAGCCTTAAAGCACTCCCTGGCTCTAAGGCTGCCACGTCCACGTCCGTTGGGTCCTGCAGGGGGTCCATAGGAGTCCTGTGCCGCCCGTGTCCTCAGCCTGAGGTGACGGGTGCGCACGTGGTGGTGAAGACACACGAGTGGAAAGGCTCCGTCGAAGCTTTCGAGGACTTGAAGAAGATGCTCAGCCACGTCGTCCTGAGCGTCCGTGAAGGCCACGACCTTGAACTTACATTGCACTGCTATCGATATTGCACACACGCACACACATATCCGGGTGCACTCGCAGGATTCCCAAGAGAGGAGAACTGGCTGAAGATCGCTACACACGTTCTCCACTTTGAAGCATGGCAGAATCAAGCAGATGCGACGAAGCGAGTTTGAAGCAGCTGTTGGAAGAGGAACTTGAACACAAAAATCGGACTGCTGGGTCGGTTGCAAGAGAAACGCCTTGTTCATGTGTCACACGGCCCTCGACCATCCCAAGCACAGTTCTCGCCGGTTTGTTCCCATGATTCCCCTGACCATCTTTCCGAAGTTGTGCATAAGGAAGAGTTGGTGGCTTACAACAAGGAGGACCCAGAGGACGTGACGCAGACCCTTGTTGCGAACTATCGCTTGGACTTCGGAATTTTCGGAACTTACGGTGTTGTGTTTCTGCTTTAGGCTTTTGGGATTAGGGTTCAAAAGGGAACCTGGGACGGGTCAAGTCCGTACTTGGCTGTTTCTCCAAGGATCGGGGCTTTGACAGTTCTCCGCAAGCTTGCCGAGCACCTGGGTTTGCGCATCTCGGAGGCCTTTGAAAATCACGCTTAGACGATGAAACCCTGGGATGAAGGTGCAGGAAGTGACGGCGGCGTTCGCCACGATGCTGCGGGGGCGGGGGGGGGAGTCGCAAATAGACAGTCATCATGGTCAAGAAGTGGTGACGAGAGTAATGATGATGTTGGCGGTGTATTCACGATGACGATGTAGTTACGTAGTTGTTAATGAGGATGAAGGTGGTGCTGCTGCTGATGATGATGAGGATGATGCTGATGCCGATGCTGATGCATGCTGATGATGCTGATAGGACCTGTAGCCGCAGAGGGTTGTATGCAGCTGATAATGCTTGTAGACAGTGTCATGAGTACTGCTGCTATCATGATCACTGATCCGTTCGCGTGTTCCACGGAAGCACGTTCAAAAAGCATCTAGTCTATACAGATGAGGTGGCTTGACTCCACACGACATCCGCCTGGTGGACTACGAGCTCATGACGCTTCCGATGCCGAAGGGTCTCTTGCGTCCCAAACTGCGAGTCCTCAGCTGCTGCTCCCTAGGTCTATCGCCCATATCCTTCAAGCCAGCCTCTCACCGTTCGACCCACATGTCACTTCTGCCACCAGCACTATAGCGGCGACATCGCCCCAAAGCCTCAAAGCGCTCAACAGAATCATGGTACGATTCACTTGGAATTCTGAAGCAAAGGTTCTTGCAACCAGACGACGAAGCTCTGGCCTTTTCACAGCCAGCGCGGTGGCCGGCCGATTCCATCAGCCCCGCCCGCAAGCCCATGAACGCAGCATTGAGGGATTCAGGGTCTGTCACAGCTGTGAGCGGGGTTTGTAGGGATGCCGAGCTGGGCTCGCCGAAGGGAGGTAAGCCCAAAGAGAGGAGAACCAACAGAACAACTGGAAAGCATGCCTTTAACAGATCATTGGATCTACACGCACGGCGTAACATCACCTGAGTATCGGTGGAGGTCGGAAAATATTAAGGCTCAGGGGAGATTGATTGATACAAGCTTGGGCATGGGCGACATGAACAACGAGGAAGTCAGGCAGAGGTGTTCTTGGTCCTTTTTATGCTGCTTTCCGGGCGGAGTCTGCGCCAGACTCTAGGCCGCAGAGTCGGCAACCAAGAGGGTGCCACAATGCTACAGATGTGTCGCTTGAACTTTCAAAGCGGTTTGTCCATCTGGCGACTTAGACTCCAGAATGCCAGCTCAAAGACTAGCGGCACGCGGTGAATCGCTTCGAGAAAAGCTGTCAGGGCCAGGGTTGTTCGGGCAGCTCCGGACGAAGGGTTCAGTGAATGTTCCTCTCGCATCTCGGGATGGACAGAAACTTGAAGGAACAGGGGTACCCTATACGTGTGACAGGCTGTTTGCTGCAGTCGGCGTCGTCGTCGTTGTCGTCGTGGCTCGCAACTACTACTACTACTACTACTACTACTACTACTATTACTACTTCTACTACTACTACTACTACTACTACTATTACTACTTCTACTACTACTACTATCACTACTACTAGTACTGCTACTGCTACTGCTACTGCTACTGCTACTGCTACTGCTACTGCTACCTACTACCTACTACCTACTACCTACTACCTACTACCTACTACCTACTACCTACTACCTACTACCTACTACCTACTACCTACTAACTACTGCCTACTGCCTACTGCCTACTAACAACAACAACAACAACTACTACTACTATTACTACTACGGCTACTCCTGGATGGGTAGTAGTAGTAGTAGTAGTAGTAGTAGTAGTAGCAGTAGTAGTAGTAGTAGTAGCAGCAGCAGCAGCAGCAGCAGCAGCAGCAGCAGCAGCATTTCTGTTGTTCTTGTTGTTGCCGCTGATGCTGCTGTTGCTGTTTGTTGCTGTTGCTGTTGCCGTTGCTGTTGCTGTTGCTGTTGCCGACGTTGCGGCCGTTGCTGCTATTGATGCTGTTGCTACTATCGCTGGAGATGATGCTGCTGCTGCTGCTCCTGCTGCTGCTGCTGTTCTTGTGCTTGTTCTTGTTCCTGTCGTTGTGGTTGTGGTTGTGGTTGTGGTTGTTGTTGTTGTTGTTGTTGCTGCTCTCGTTGTTGCTCTCGTTCTCTTGTCGATGTTCTTGTTCTTGTGCTTGGTCTTCGTAGTGGAAGCAACAACAGCAGTAGCAACAGAAGGAGCAGCGGGGGCAGTAGCGAGGGTATGCGACAGGTTTCGATAGACATCAGGGCACGCATGGGTCCCCAATAGGTATGTATATGCATAGTCACGCAGACCTCCCCTACACTCCAAGTTGCAGGCATCGACAGCGACAGAGGGTTTATGACACAGGCTGAAGTGCCAGTCGCCGCAGTGCAAAGCACGAGGCCGCCAGCCGCTGCTTCCAGCGGCCTGAACCACGCATTGCGGCACCAGGTGCTTCGGCCTCGGGCTTCTTGGTGTATTGCTTCGGGCCTAGGCGCAGCTGTCATCTGACTAAGTAGTCAGTTCTTTCAATCAGCCGACCCAGTCTCAATTCTTCTTGTTTGATTAATGGGACCTTTTGCATAGCCAAGAAGATGGAACGGAAGTTTCGCTTCCCACTCTGGGCCAGGTGAAATGGCGTTGGCGGCGAGGAGAGAGGGTTTTCGAGAGCTGTCTGTTGATGCCTACGTGGGCTCTTTTTAGCTTGGTGCAAAATTCAGCATGCGTAAAGAGGGCCAGGGTGCGAAGTATGGAGACAACTCATGAGATTCAATGCGTTCGGTTCATGCCTTCGTGGCAGTATCTTGACGGGAGGATCGCGGCCATGCGGAGCAAGCTCCGAGACGGACCTGCTACTACAGAGCCCCAGCCCCGACATTTGGCCATCAGTTTTGCGGTCGAAGGGATAGGAGTCTGCCTGGAGCTGTGGGACCTCCGGTTCGTGGATGTCTTTCATCATCTCCCAGGTTCTTCTACAGCTTTCAATTCGGGGATTGTCATGATTTGAATCCAACAAGCATGTAATTAATCGGTCTGGGAAGCCCGCCGAAGTGACTCGCTTCATCTAGAGTTTGGATAAAACGAAACGCCTCGCACCGAGACTGGTCTCGGTAGCCCGAGAATATGTGAGTGCCACGTTCAAGGTCCTGGAATGAAGACAGCCCTGTTGCTGGCGGCCTCTCACTTTTCCTCAGTCACCTGCTCAGCTGCCCCGATGGCCTCGGGTCCAGAGCTTTTCCCGAGCAGATGTGGGCCAAGGCGGGGCTTCCTCCGAGGGGCTGACAACAAGGCCAGCCGCCAGCAGTGCTCCTTTCACTTCCCACGCAACCTGATTTAGGCGTTCATCCCTGTGCTGCACCAGCAGTAGCAACAATGACAACGCAATCTTGAAGGGAACCGGCGGCAAGCTAGGCCATGCCACGGAGCAAGGATTGTCAGAGCACGGTGCCTGCAGGCTTGGATGCCTGCGCCCCGTCCCGCCGGGCGCCTACGGCCTACGGTTTCGAGCGTCGCGGCTGGAGCCATGCCGTCTATGGGGCCTTACGGCTTTTTTTTCGAGGGTCGGATCTCTCCCAGGGAAGGCTCGGAGTCCGAGAACAAGTCGCCGCCTTTGGTGCCCAGGCTGGGGACTTGGACCTTTGGTTTTCATGTCTCGACCTAGGGTCCAGCAAGCCTTATAGAGGTTTTGTTTATGGGTTCATGCTGTTGAGATCAGAAGGGCAATGGGAGAGAGTGACCAAGAGTCTAGCACAAGCATGTTCATGTGAATCGCATTGTCTTGGACAGCATTCTATCATGTCCGTGTGTCGGGGAGATCCTTAAGGTCCTCTGTTCAGTTTCGTTGGGAGCCCTCTCCGCCAGGGAAGGCCCAGAAGTGTGGCCGTCGCCACGCGAGGCTTGCGTCTCTTCAGAGCTGCCTGCACCGCCTGCACCTTGCACCATTGAAGCCATCCCTCAAACCACTGGATCCTTCCGCTTTTCGGCAGGCAGCCCCCAAAGCGGCACAACCGCCAGACAAGGCGAGGACTTGAGAACCTCTAGATTGTTCTCATGACCGCATGTACCTGCATGACGTAGTCAGCTGTCCATTCAAACCTTGTGGTGTCTTGCCTGTCACCTCCGGCACACTTCAACAACCTATCAGCTAGCACCATTCGGCTCCTATCGTCCTTCGGGGCCCCGGGAACCTTTCTCAATTCTCAAGGTCATGCTGTGATCAGGCGTCTAGGATGACGATGCTGAGGACGACGTTCGAAGTTTGAGGTTTCAGACCCGAAGCCTCCCGAAGGCCCCACTCTAAACTTTCCGGAGGGCGCCGGCCCGGACCGATCCGACGCAAGAGGCCCAAGCCGGGTGCTCGAGCGAACAATGTATGAATTAGTTCATCGATTCATAAATGAATTAATGAATTAATCAATCAGTTATGTCATCAACTAGCTGATTCATGTTGATTCATCAGTTCGCTGTTTTTCCAGAATCACAAGACCTGGGCCCTCGTACTGCTTTGGTTCCTTTTCTTCGGCTTGGGGCTGCACAAGTTCAACAAAGACTGCACAACTACCACTCAAAGGGTTAGGTTTTTCTCTGGGAATTGAGGGCTGTGCGTCGGTGTCTGGGTGGATCACAAGTGGCGTCAGCTTGAGAAAATTCCGCGGGGGTCTTCGCTTCGTTGAAGGCTGACGCTTCGGCTAGACTTGCCCCATCTTGTGCCCCTTTGCTTGAGATGCTGAAGCAGAAATCCAAGTCTACGTGATTTGAGAATTTCATGTAGAGAAGTCAAGCTTGCCAGATGTCGGGTGTGGCAGTTCGCTCCTGCAGGCGTTGTTGTAATCGCGAATGAGGCAGGGACCGGAGGGAGCAAGATGATCAAGCGCTACGTCTCGGCTTTGGCAAGTAGTTCGGTGATTCAGTGGTCCCATACACTGCAATACACTTTGAAAGGATTTCTCATGCCAGCGGCTGTTACACGAGGCAGAGATGCTGTCTGCCGACTACACTCAAAAGATCTGCAACAAGGCCGTTCTTCTGCGCCTTCCAGCCAGGCTGCAGCTGCGCAGCGCCTATGCCTCTTTGTATTTTTCCAGGTTGCGGCCGCTGCTGCAGCCGCACGCAGGGTCGCCGAAACGGCCAAGGAGGTAGCCGACCAGGCGCTGCTTGACGCAATGAAGCCGTCGCTAAAGCGTGTGCTGAAGATTCGTTTGCCTATGTGTGGGGTGGTGTGCCGGTCTCTTCTGTCCGTGACTGGAATCTTCTGTCGTCTGTCTGGTTTCTGTTCCTCTCCCGCTTACTCTCTGTGTCTCTCTTTCTGTGCCAGTTCCGTTCATGATATGCGGATGCACGGACATGCTGCTGTGCAGACGCGTGTCAATGCCACTGTGTGGTTGTGATTCTATAAGTCTATAAGTGCAGTGCATGCAGGTACTTTTGGTGTTGCGTTGCTTTGCATGGCACTGCGACGTATTGTATACTTCACTGTGCTGCACAGTCCTGCATGATATTGCTTGTGGTGCACGTGTGCGTGCGCACGTTCGTACGCATGCGTGCATGTATGTATGTTGATGTCATTCTGCCTGTCTGCCTCCCGGTCTGTCTGTATGCATGCATGCATGCATGTACGCA